CATGTGGTGCTGGAGGATTGAACCGTGGTCCCTGTGCTTTGCCAAGCTTGTTTCAAGTAGGTGCTTTAGACCACTGAGCCATCTCTCCAGCCCCTGGGAGGCTTTTTAATAACTCCAAAATGTGAAAATTACCCAAATTAAGTGGTAAAGCTGTCTATGTCTCTATTCATTATAGTTGCCAACTACTGATTATAAATATTTATTTATTTATTTATTTATTTATTGTATTTAGTGCAGGGACTATAGGGTCTCACTATGTAGATCGGACTCATAGTGATTCTCCTGTTTTCAGCCTCCCAAGAGCTAGGCGTACAGGTGCCCACCACCATGCCCAGTCTCAATCACTGTCTCAGTATGCCTGAGGGGTGGGGCTGGCTCCGCAGGCCTGGGAATCAAACTCCGGTCCCTGCATCTGCCTAAGCTGGTGCTTTAATCTGCTGAGCTATTTGGCTGGCCCCCAACTATTGATTGTATTACCCTTAATGTGATGTTTCGTTTTAACAGGGGCTTTTAAAACTCAAATATATTTTGGGGAGATAGAGAGGGGCAGGGCAGGTGCTGTGGGTCTCATCTTGAAGGGTCCTTAGATTCTTGAGATGCTGCTCATGTAGAAATCAAGAGCACTTTTCCCTTGGCTCTTCACTTAATATTTGCAGACTTTCAGTCTTTGTGTTGTGAGCCTCTTTGGCCATAGGGCAAAGTCTATGACTCTTCTCTTTTAAATGCATAAAGTAAATACCTATTGTTGTAAGGGACGGACTATATTAGAAGATAGTTAGCAGACTGTCTTAAATTGCTGTGCGACAGTGCATGTGCTTCTTGGTGAGTGAAGTAATTAAATCTAAGGCAGAGCTAGGAAATACTTATTTTTGCCATATAGTGACAGAACTTGTTAAACTATTGTGGCTTGTATTTTACTTCAAGTGGAGGTGCTGTGTGTTCCCAGTTTGTGCACCTTTTCATGCTTTCTTCCTCCACATCTTGCCTGGATTTCTGTTCTCTTTCTCTTAATGACCCATGGTAGAGCTCTAAAAGCTATTTTGTCTACTTATTTACTTATTTATTTATTATTTTTTCTGTATTTATTACAGGGTCTCACTACACAGATAGGACTCATAGTGATCCTCCTGTTTTTAGGCTCCCAAGCACTGGGATTACAGGCGCGCACCACCATGACTAGTCTCAGTTGCTGTCTCAGTGCACCCTGGGAGCGGGGCCTTCAGGGCACACTGGGATCAAACCCCAGTTCCTACGTCTGCCTAAGCAGGTGCTTTGATTGGCTGAGCTATCTGGCTGGCTCTGCTATTTTAGATATGTTGTATATTCAGTATGATTTTACACTTTTGAGGGAAAAGAGTTCTCAAATAAACATGGTGTTTTTCATGTTGTTTAATTGATTGGCATATAACATACTTTTTAAAGGTTTATTCAGTATTTTGTGACCTTCAGGTTAGTTTTAGATCTCTTGTATCTCCACAAGAAAAATTGCAATGACCAGGAGTTTCCAAACTTGAGCATAATTAAAATTATATGAAGGGCTTACAATACAGACTGCTGGACCAGAACATTTTTGATATAGGGTCTTGCGTAGTTCAGACTGTCCTTGAACTTGCAGTGATCCTCCTGCCTTAGCCTCCCAGGGCTAAAGTTACAAGCATTGTGTCACCACGCTCAGCTGTTTTGTTTTTTGCAAAATAGAATCTTGCCATTTTCCAGGTTGATCTCAAACTTTAAGGTAGTGAAAGCACAAGATTATGTCTTCCTTTTCCCCTTCTGTGTGGCTGTAGGTACAGTTGAGAATACTAGTAAGTGTAATGTTACTGCTGCTGTGGTAGGGCACATGTAAGTTACATCCTGGGGCTATGACTGAGAGTTAAGGCTTCTGGGTGTAGGGCAAAGGAGTAGGTTATGTAGAATTAAACATTCTTTTTCGGAACCGGGGATTGAACTCAGGCCCTTGCGCTTGCCAAGGAAGTGCTTATTCCACTGAGCCAACTCCCCTAAATTAAACATTCTTAAATCTCATCATTGTACAATGCATAGAAACAAAACCATATACAATTAGAATGAGTTTTTTTCCTGTTCATGGAAATATCAGAATAGACCACCCTGTCTGCAGTGGTTAGTTATGATTTGAGAGTGGGATTATGAGGAAAAATAGGGCTGATTTTTTTGTATATGTCCATTTTTTTTTGTTAATGAGTATATCAAGAGAAGACAACATGGTTCATATCCTTTTTGCAATAGACATTATGAATATAGAAAAGTTTTGGTAAAGAACTCATGTTCTCCACATTTAAAGTTTATTTTGTCAAATTGGGTTTTATTCTGTGTACCTTGTAAGTCAGCAAAAATACATATCCTACTTTAAAATGACCAATTTTTAATTTAACTAAAAATAATTTTATATACTTCATTTTAGACTGGGTAGTGATAGTTAGTTTTCAGAACTTACACATTTGAAACAAAGGATTATTAATTGGCCAAAACTTTATTTGCTTATCACTACAACCCTAGAAATTTTTACATCAAAAAGAAAAGATTTTTTCCCCCATCTATTTAGCAAAGAGATACATCTTTGTTTTTTTTTTTTTTTTTTTTTTTTTTGAGATAGGGTCTCTATGTAGTTCAGGCAGGTCTTGAACTTAGTAGGTATCCCGCACTGGCCTCACACTCGCCGTGATCCTCCTGCCTTAGTCTCACAAGTGCTGGGAGTACCAGCATGCACCCCTACCATGCCCACTGGCAAAAGGACACTTCTTGGGGTTGGCGAGATATCTCATCGTCTGAAGTGCCTGCTCAGGCAAGCTTAGGCAAGCACAGGCACAGTGGTTCAATCCTCAGCACCACATGCCAGGCCAGCCCTGCCCCTGGGCGGGCTGAGCCGGACACACACAGAGTCCAGGCGTGGTGGCACATGGCTGTAATCCCAGTACTGGGGAGGTTGAAAAACAGGAGAATCACTGAGTCCACGCTGCATAGTGATACCATGTAATAACCAAATATATTAAAAAAAAAAAAAGATTCTTGTTGTATATGGTATTTAACAAAATTATTAGGAAACTCGGAATTCTTTTTTATTTTTTATTCATTTTAATGAGAAAAAGTAGCAATGAAACAGGTTAGCAGGATAGTTACAATAATTAATACAGTGCATATTGTTGTCTTCATAGTAATTATTCAGAGGACAAGATGCAGACATGATATCTTGTCTAAACAACATTAGTACAGACCTTTATTCTCATTGAACTAATAGAAGGTAGCTATATATCCTATTTTGTGTGCATATATATGTGTGTGTGTGTTTGTGTGTGTGTGTGTATATACACTTCCCCCCCCTACAAAATGGTCCTTCATTTATATCCCCCTTTTTTGTTTTGTTTTGTCAGAGATGGGTGTTCCATTGTTGTTAGAGAAGCTGTATTTGGAGAAGTCTTTAAAGGACCTTTTCATACTTGCTGCCTTTTCAAATATTGTAGGTACTTGAATTCAGCAAAATAACCCAATATAGTACAATGAATTCTTTTTTTTTTTCATATATCACCTTTTCCCCAAAAAAGTTATTTCTCAGAAAAGAGAATCAAGGTTTAAAATAATTACTTAAAAGGGAAAAAAATATTTTAAAGAGAAAACCAAACATTTGGTTCAAGAAAGAATTTAAAAGTAGCAATTCCTTTTTGAGACATTGCTTTCTTGAATAAACTTCACCATCCTTTTGATTTTTTTCTTTTTTTTGTCCTTCTGTGGACTGATCTACAGTTAGTAATCTATTTAGGTTTTATAGCATGAAGCATTAGCCCTTTGCTTGGAAAAACAGGTTTGGCAGAAAGACATTTGTAGCCGGGTATGACTGCGCACCCTTGTAATCCCAGCACTCAGGAGACTGAGGTGAGAGGATAGTTGTGAGTTCGAGGCTAGTCTGAGCTACTCATTGAGACCCTCATTCAGGAGACTGAGGTAGGAGGATAGTTGTGAGTTTGAAGCTAGCCTGGGCTACTCAGTGAGACCTTGACTAGAAAGAAAGGAAGGAAGGCAGGCATCATTTTTTTTTTTTTTTTTTTTTTTTTTTTTTGGTGGAACCGGGGATTGAACTCAGGTCCTTGTGCTTGCGAGGGAAGTGCTTATTCCACTGAGCCATCTCCCTGCCCCCTCATATTTGTTTTTTATTCCAATGCTATCATTACGAGCTTAGTCAAGAGGTGCCAATCAGTTATTTACTCTAAGTATCATATTGTGCTTATGCCTGTGTTTAGGAGAGAGACCTCCACAGGATAAGGAAGATCTTAGTAAATAATGTAGGACATTCACTCTGCAAATTCACAAAGGAGTCAGGCAGTACAACTGAGACCACCGTTTAAAGTAAAATAATATATTTTGTTTATTAAATCATCTGTGTTTAATTTTCTCTTTGTTTCTCTGTAATAGTAGCAAATACTTTAACAAAATAATTCCTATGTATTTCATTTTTGGAGGCCACAAGAAATGGAGAGGCTAACCTGGACACAGTGAGGCATACCAGTAATTCCAGCTACTGGAGGGGCTGGGATAGCAAGATGAAGATGGGAGGCCAGAGTGCACAATAGACCAGCACCCTGGCTAGGAAGAAATAAATCCTAAAGTGAGGGGATGTAGCTCATCAGGGATAGAGTGCTAGCCTAGCAAGCCTGAGGCCCTGGGGTCAGCCCCCAGGGCCACCAAACAAATGAAACAACACTGAGCTAGAATAGATAATGAAACTCCAGTTAATGCTTAGTTAATGCTGGCATTAACTAAGAAAACAGAACGTCAAAACATAGAATTACTGAAAGGAAAAAAGGAAAGCAGACTGAGTTCTAATGCCTGTAAAGGAAGAACAGGGGTGCCGGGAGATAGCTCAGTAGAATAAGCACTTCCCTGGCACAAATGCAAGGGCCTGAGTTCAATCCCTGGTTTCACAAAAAACCAAACCAAACAAAAAAACAGGAACCTGAGCATTTTGGGTGAGAACCACTAATGGGGTTACTTGAGACTACCTGAGGTGTACATAGTGCTCTATTCTTTTTATGTGGATAAGAACAATAAATTAGATGCAGCTCCAGCTCTAAATGAGCTTGCTCTGTTGTAGAGAACTTACATAAGGAAATAGTTCTTTATAACCTAAGATTTAAATAAAACCAATGTTGTAAAGGGAGGAAGAAATTGGCTGTTGTGATTTCAGTTGAGTTTGGAAAGATAGATAAAATTTCATTTGGAAAAAGCAAAGATTTTTCTAGTCTTTTTTTTTTTCTCTCCTCTCAGGCCATTACTAAAGCATGTCAGTTTATTCATAAGTGCAATAATGATATTCCCTTGCCTAAAATCTTGTCAGTGGGGGCCTGCCCCTTAGCTCAGTTCTTTAAGTGGCTGCTTCAACAAAGTAGTCAGGCTCAGGTTGCTGTGGTTCGATCCCCACAACTCAAGCCAGCCAATCATGCCCTGAAGGCATTCGGAGAAAAAAAAAAAAAAAATCTTGTCAGTGAGTTCTAATTACAAGTAGGAAAAAAAAAAGGTTTTTTTTTTTTTTTTTTGGTAAATGAGAATATATTTATTGAGAGAAAGAAAGTTCCTGTCCAAGAGAGTATCAGGATGGGTTCCGAACAGATTGTCCCCAGGAAGCTCTCTCTTCCAGGGACTTTTATAGAGTACAACCTTATGTGGTGAGGCAGGTCTAAGGTGGTGGAGAACATGGGAACTCACGTAGACATTATTATGTTGGACAAAACTATGGTCAACCAATGAGATTACAAGCACCATTGTTCAGGTAGAGTTGATTACGCCCAGAACCAAATGGGGTAGGGAAGCGAGTACAGGGTCTCTTCCTGTTGGGGATTGGACTAGTGACTCATTTGGGCTCTTTCAAGGTGATTGATACCTATTTAGAATATCAATCCCTGATGTCCATCCCTAGGGAAGTATGTGGCTGTGTTTTCTCTTTTTGTCTTGGTCTTGAGATGTGGCCCATATGGGAGTGTCTGTCTCTTCCAAGTTGCAAGGTTACCTTGTCTTCCATCTTGTCTCCTCGAAGGCCTGGCCCTATCTGACTGCCTATAATATTTCTATCTAACTTGGCTGCCTGAAACATTCCTCCCTCTGAAGAAGTAACCCGTACTGCCGTGAGGGAACCATGGGTGATGACCGCTCTGGCTTCTTCAGGCTGAAAGGGGTCGTAGTTGTTGACCAGCAGTTAGAGATTCTTTCCAGAGGTTCCATCTAAAGGCCCTCAATAGACACCAGGCATTTTTATCTTGGGTAGACATATAGCTTTGAATCTGGAGAAGACAAAGCCAAAGAAACAGTTAAACACCTAAGGGTCAAATAATCACAATAGGATAATTATGAAAAAGATGAGTTAGAACTTTTTGTAGGTCCATTAGTAAAGATCTCTTAAATGTGAGGTTTAATCCCGTTTTTATCTTCTATGGCCATTGTGTGGTGTTTCAAACAAACTGGCCTTTCCTTTCCTGTTATTACTAAGGCACATGAATTGCTGGGCCTAGGGAAAACACTATTTTCCAGTTTGCAAGTGGGCCACTGGCTGGGTAACTATTGACAAATCTGCATAAGTATCTATTGAAAGTTTCACAGGCTTTCTCTTTATATTGGCAGTTAACATGGGTTCCCTCAGGCTGAGCAGGAAGACACATGACCACCTCAATCTGAATCTTCCTCTGACTCCATCATAAACACTTTTTTCCTCTAGCAGCTTTGGACATTTTTGCTTGAAATGTCCCTTCTCTCTGTCTGGATCCAGGGAAGCATAACTTTTCCCTGTCTTCTTGACTGGCCTTCATTCCTGCAGGATGTTAGTATCACTACTCTCATTTTCGTCTATAATTTCATTATGTATCCTTTTTTTTTTTTTTTTTTTTTTTTTTGCGGAACCGGGGATTGAACTCAGGCCTTTGCGCTTGCCAGGGAAGCGCTTATTCCACTGAGCCATCTCCCCAGCCCCTATGTATCCTTTTTACTATGAAACACCTCAACTCAAACAAATTCATTCCTGCATACCCTTCTTTTATGGAGTCTGACAGTTTGCTATAAGTCTCTCTAGCTTTAGTTAAGAGAGGTCACACCTCTATTTACTGTCAACATGAAACACTTGCATTATGTCAAAAATCAACCAGGTTAACTCATATACTTATCATGAAATACACAGCATTCAGTCAGATTAAACCAATGAAATACCTTTTAAATCTTGTACATGAATAACAATATATTCCATTTGTAAAAACTACTCTTAGCATAATAATTAGTTATTGCATTCTCTCAGTTACAGCTAAAGCAAGATGTCTTCTAAAGTCTGTTTTTATTCAGGTACAGTGACTGGAAGGAAGATCAGGGTTGGAGAAAGACAAAGAGACCTGTGCCAATTTCCAGCAGTAGGCTGGGTTTTTTCCTCTAGTCATGATTACTCAGGGCCCTTCTGTGGAGATGGCAGGTAGAGATAACAGTCTGCCAGAGGGAAGAGGCAGGTCCAGGGCTCTTCAGTCCTACTGGACCACCTGGGAAGCCGAGTCAGAGCTCTGAGGCCTCCGCCTCAGAGTGCAATCTCTTCCAGTGGCTACCTTGGCAGTCAGGGCATGGCTTGTGGGCCTCTTTAGGCAGTCCCTCTTATGCTGGCCTGGCTTCTGACAGCAGTAGCAGATGAACCTCATCAGCAGATGAACCACATTGTTGTCAAGCGCTTCTTGAAGCCCAGAGTATCAGACTTAGGGTCTGTTTTATTTATTATTATGATTTTTTTTTTTTTTTATTTTTATTTTTTGCAGAACCAGGGATTGAACTCAGGCCCTTGCACTTGCTCGGCAAGCACTTATTCTACTGAGCCATCTCCCCGGCCCAGGGTCTGTTTTGAGGCTGTAATAATGGCAGCCATTTTGATCTTTGCTTTCTCTCCTTGGTTTTCTCCTAGTTCCAGTTATAGGAAATTGTTTCCTTAGTGTCCTTTAAAGTACCAAGTGAGTTGTCCGGAGCAAAAGCTATCATTTTAGCTCTTGTCTAATATCTGGAGCTGACTGAGTAACTAACTTATCTGTAAGAGTCATCTGCCCCTCTATTGAATTAACATCTTAGGAAGTATGTTTTACCAGTGCCTCTATTAAACATTCTAAGAAATCAGAGGGGTGTTCATCTTTCTCCTGGTAAATAGCTAAAATTTAAAATAACTAGAAGGCTTGGTTCTAGTTCTTTTAGACCTTTAAGAATATACACTTGAAAGAAAATGTCTTTTCAGTCTCTTGCCTATTAGCCCACCAGGGATCTGACTGTTTGGTCTCCAGTGGGAACTGGAAGTTCCATTGGTTGACTATCTCTTGGCTTTTTAAAATTAACAATATGATATTTATTTCCAATGACTATGGCAGCTTGTAATGCTGCCTGCTTTTTCATAAAAGTCAAAGCTTGGTTCAAGATTAACATTACAAGGGGCTGGGGAGATGGCTCAGTGGAATAAGCGCTTTGCTAGCAAGGGCAAGAGCCTGAGTTCAATCCCCAGTTCCACAAAAAAAAAAAAAAAGATTAACATTACATCTTTCCAATCTAGTTCATAAGTCCAAATAAATTGTCTAAAGACATCAATGTACTTGTCAGAGTCATCTAAGGCACATGAACTGTGGGAGTTCCAAAATGCCTCTTTACTTCTTTAAAAGGTATTGTCCTTGAAAAGCTTGCATAGATTTAGCTAAGAATGGTTGTAGCCCTGTAGAGGCCTGAATTACAGCTGTTTTAGAAGACCACACCCTCTAGACTAGAAAGGCAAATAGGGAAAACCTTACTTTCAGCAATGGTGGGCAAGGCTGAACTGCCTGGTTCTCCTGTTGCTCACATCTGCATTTCAAAACTTAAATGACAATAACCTTCTTAATGTAAACAAAATCTGAACATGAGACATTTTTACCAGTTTTTTACATCATCTTTCTAGTTATAAAACAGCATCATAATTGATACTTTCCCTCTGCTTTCTATTTGGATTAAACAGCTCTTTTTCAGCATGTAAGGATCAAACATCTTCCAGTGCCTAATGAAACACTCTAAAGGAGTAGGAGACTTTGTGAGATAACCTGGAATTCAATAGAAATTACCTTCCTGGGTGTCCCCACCTTCTTTCTAATGGATTCCTCCACCCAGCCGTCCCTGAATAGCCCTCTCCAGAGCAGGTGGATGCTCCTACTGGAGAGAAGGGAGACAAGTTCCCACCAGCCTCTCTACCCTCGAACTGGTGCGTGATTCCTGTGTCCTGAAACATCTCACAAACCCTTCACTTACTCTTACTGAATATTTGTAAGTTAACAGCTACAATTGGTCCAGTGATAGGAATGTGTACAGAAGGAAGCATAACTGTGGCATAAAAGGTTAATTGGAAGTGCGCAATTTTCAGGCTACAAAGATCACTTTTAGAGATTAGATAGAACCATTGACTGCAAGGATTTGGCCCTGTGCACTGAGCCAAGTCTTCAGACACGTAAATATTTTTAGAACTAGACAAGATTTAACTTTGAAACTCACAGGTGAAACAGTCATTTAACAATCACTTTTTACATTTTGGTAAAAACACAATACAGCTAGCAAAAATTTCTTACTTTGTTAACATATAAGGCACAGATGTAAACTTCCCCTGGTAGCCACTGTAGAGTGTAAACTATTGCAAGCTCCCTCAGCCTAATTTCTCAAAGAGTGACTCATTAAATTGTTCTACTGGAAAGCTCGTGTAAAATTCCTAGTTTACTAGCAAAAAGAGAGAAAAAGTACAATAGGTAAGTGGAGGTCTTTCAGTGGTCAGGAGCCAGTTTCCACCAAGAAACCTTCGGGTATGGCCATAACCCTTCAGGTATTTTCAGTTTCTGTTGGCTCACACAACCAGAGTTCAGTCTCCAGAAAGGAATCCAGCGGTTTCTCTGGTCACTATTCCATCAGCCATAGGCTTCAATGGGGATTCACCAAAGAACGGTTGGGGAAACCTGTCCTCTGCTTCAAAGAGTGGCAGCTGCTCTAAGAGCATTTACTAGCTGGTAGAGTAACCACTGTTAGTCCAAGTTCTATAAGGGATAATTAAAAGCCTGAAGAAGATTACCTAGCACTTTACACTAAAGGCTTTAAATTCCTCTACTTACCTCTTTTTTGTGTGTGTGGAACTGGGGATTGAACTCAGGCCCTTACTCTTGCCAGGGAAGCACTTATTCCACTGAGCCATCTCCCCGGCCCTCTACTACTTATCTCTTATGCACCTAAATGATTAGGACTAGGAGAAAAGATTGAATCATCCCTCACACTAAATACGTTTTGGTCCCATAAATGTGCTGCTTTTGGAGATAACTCCTTCTGGTGTCACCCAGAAGTCAGTTCTCCCCACTATGTCTCAGGTTTAGCCTCCCAAAGGAGACCTGCCCAGAACACTAAGCAGGACTATGGCTTTTGTATGTGTCCTCCTGCATGGGCATAGTCCTCTTTGTCTCATCTGACCCAGAAAAAGGGTATGTATCCTTTTTCTAAAATGACTTCCCGGCCGGGGAGATGGCTCAGTAGGATAAGCACTTGACTGGCAAACACAAGGGTCTGAGTTCAATCCCCGGTTCCACCAAAAAATTAAAATAAAATAAAATAAAATAAAATGACTTCCCTGTCTTCGACGTTAACAGATGCTCATCTTCTAAGGGCTTCATTTAGTTGGCACAGTCAGAATGTTCCTAATTATTATTTTTTTAATTTTATTTATTTATTTGTGTGTGTGTGTGTGTGTGTGTATGTGGCCAGTTCAGCCCACCAGGGGGCAGGGCTGGCTGGCATGTGGTGCTGGGGGATTGAACCGCAGTCCCTATGCTTTGCCAAGCTTGTTCTAAGTAGGTACTTTAGACCACTGAGCCATCTCACCAGCTCAGAATTTTCCTAATTTTACATGCCTCTAAAAAGGAAAGTACAAACAGGTGGGAAAAGTAGGAGTAAGGTCAAAGATAGGAAACTGAAACAGAGCAGGCATGACATTTCCTCTAGCATGTAGAAGGGGATCAGAACCAGTCTATCCCAGTGAAACCTGTCCTCCAATTCTTTAAGAATGGTTGCCGACCTAATGTCATTTAACTGGCAAAAGGAGTCCCATGTTTCATATACAGGCATGTATATTTTCTAAGTCTGAGCTGGCGAAAAGTCCCATTTTACTGAAATTTGCATAAAATCCACTAGGAGGCTTCATAACTTTATTCTCTTTAGTGCTACTGTCTAAAATCAAGGAATACCAGTACATTTAGCATCTAGTTCAAACACAACATGCACAAGTACACAACAGTCATAAAATGTCCCATTAAAGAAATATCATAACCTTATAACATTTCCATGTTTTAACTTAGATTTACTGACATTTTGACCATTTTAACAAAACCACATAAAGACAAAGCATAAGCAATTATAAACAATTTTAACAGTACTATGTGAAACAAAACTGTATGAGGCTAAGTATGAACAATAATGAGCATATGAACAATTATGAGCAATGAGCAAAGACATACCAATATTTTAAGCATAAAAGTTTGTTACCTAAGCAAGTCTCAATCCAGAATTTATGAAAGAAAAGCAAACTCATACCTCCATCCAATGATCTCGGTGGAAGCCTCCAAAATGATACAGGGAGAAAAACTGATCTTGGGTGGGTGACCTCCAAATGACACAGGGAACCTCCAAATGACATAGGGAAAAATGATCTCCTGACCTGACCTGGACGAGTTCGTGTTCTCTAAAACTGAAGAATGAATTTTGGCAACAAACGGAGGTTATGAGCAGAATAGATTTATTGAGAGAAAGAAAGCTTCTGTCCAAGAGAGAGGGACAGGAGGGAGGCCTGAGTGGGTTGTCCCCCAGGATTTTTTTTTAGTGGAACCAGGGACTGAACTCAGGCCCTTAGGCTTGCCAGGCAGGCGCTTATTCTACTGAACCATCTCCCTGGCCCCCAAAAATAGGATTTTAAAAAATATCTAAAAATAAATAAATAAATAAAAAATAAATAAAAAATATCTCCTTCAAGACACCAAAACATTTGGCTGTCATCTGTTTAGAAACAGTACTAACAATAATAGTGAAAACTTCCACAAAACCTTAATGTATAAAGTTTCTTTACTGTACCAGGAATTGTTCCGAAGGCTTTACATATTAAAACATTTCATACTTGGCATCTGATGCTAAATAACTTGAAGGCTTTTTTGGGTAGAAGTGCAGATTTAATCTCAGAAAGTAAACAGGGCTTCACAGCCTCAACTTAAGCATTCAGTTCTCATGAAATACATTCCTTCTCAACATACATCCACTGTTGTAGCCACAGTGCTCTTTACTCTCCCAGTAATCTAAACCTCTTATTACCTCCACCTGGTTTCATATTTGCCTCTTCTTTCTGAACATTATTTCCTTTAGGTTTTTCAGTTTCTAATTCCTGGTTATTAGATCTTTGAATACTACCAGAGAGAGACAGAGGCCTTGGCTGATACTCTTCAATCTCAGGACTGTTGTATCACATTTATAGTAGCCTCCCATTCTCCTTTATTTCCTTTTTTTTTTAATAGACACCTGCAATTTACAATTGGATTTCCAAATAGGTAGTAATACATTATAAATTCAAGTCCTTTGTAGTGTGGCATTAGTATGAATTTAATGAAATGACCTTGGTCCTTCTGCACATAGGAGGCTGAGTTGTCTGTGAAATGGGTGCCAGGATTCAGATTAACTAAATCAGTCCAAGCTGTGGCTGTGGTTTGGTGCCACCTGGTGGTAGTTATGTACTACTGTGATTCCTATTTGAGGAAAAGGTAGAAAATAATCACAGTTGCCGATAAGTATTTATGTTGGATTGGCTCCAGGACCCACTCTCTTCATACCAAAAATCCATGGATACTCATGACTCTTATACACATTGGCATAGTGTTTTCATGCAACTTATACACACACCCTATATGCTTATACCTAATATAATGTAAATGCTCTTAGAACATTGTTATACTATATTGTTTAGGGAGTGATTATGAAGATAAAAGTCTGTCCATGTTTAATACAGATGCAGTTCCCCCCCCAAATGTTTTTGATCTGTGGTTAGTTGAATGTGAGTCAGTGTTCTTAAAGTGAGTCTGTATAATTTTAACAGATCCAACAGATCATTTGAAATAATTAAATTCAAATGAATGGAAACAGATTACATATAACAGGCACAACAAAATTAAATTACAAAATGGAAAAACAAATTCACTGGAAAAAAAAAACAACCAGAAGAAGCTGGGGTGATTTAGAGTAAACATCTTAAAGTAGGATAAAGTGCAAATCTTGAAACTGGTAAAAGGAGCAGTCTGAAAAGTACGATCGTGAACTCATACATATCTAAGAACATAGCTTTGAAATACCATTTAAAATAAAAGCTTTTACAATTGCAAGGAGAAAATAGACATGATTATAAAACAGCAGGATTTGAACATAGTGGAAAATTTAAGTCAAGCAGGTACAAAATTTAGAATTTCATCAAAGAATTAAGTTGGGGATATAGCTCAGTGGCATAGTGCCTGCCTGGCAAGTATGAGGTCCTGAGTTCGATTCCTGATACAAAAAAAAAATAGAATCAAGGCACAGGTCAACAGACTTCAACAGTTGGAGACACAGAACCCCGTAAGCATACTGTAGGGAAATCTAAACAATCAGTATCATACACACTGTACTATTTCATCACAATACAGTGAAATTAGAGAGCAAAAAGGCAGTCAGAAGCTCACTTTACTAGATCAAAGAGGAAATGAAATTATTAAAATACTTGCAGCTAAATAACAAAGCGTTGCATATCAAGCAATGGCCGTGACTCATCCATATGGCTGACACTGACAAAAGACGCACAAAGTTCTGTACATGGTTCCAGGGTAAATCCTGAGGGGATTTGACTGACCTTATCAGATAGCAAAAATTACATTTAGAGTTATATAGGTCTTGCTTTAATTTGGTCTTAACCATCCAGCAGAAAAGTGTAACCATGAGGCATAAGGTAAAGCTATATTAATATGCTGAGCTGTAAAAGGCTCATGTCAACAA